CAGCTGGCAAATGTGTATGAGTCAGTGATAGCACATGACTAAATGCTTCACAGAAAATAAAATTTGTTTCTGTAGTAAGCAGAACTGTTTAAATGTTATTTATTTTTATGTTTCAAAGAAAATATATTGTGAAGTGCTGCATTGATTTAATACGCAACAATGTCTGTGTACACGCTGTAGAAGGAAAATTTATGAAACCTTTGCACAACTCCTTTAATTGAATTTTCCAAATCTCTCACCACACACAAATAATCAATATCTTCTGCAGAGAAAACCAGTCAGAATTATTACTGTCTTTCGTTTCAATTTTGTTGTCATCAGCACATACAGAGCACCTGGATATTTGTAATGCCTGATAGCAAGTTATTTACTATATTTACACCTCTTAAACACATAATTGCTATTAAATGAGTTAAAATCTATGGTTTAAATTATTTTACCTAATTATTTAAAAGATAAAAGCATCATACTTCTAGTAAAGTATAAAAAAAATTAAATCTTGGAAGAAATTATTTAAAAGGCTTTGAAAATAAACCAGTTTGTTTTTCCTTAAATCCTAGACAAATCTCAAGTAAGCAGTCGAAATGTAGCTCTAAAAGTGATGAATAGTGTAAAGCAAAAGCATGAACATTTATTAATAGGAAAAGGTATGACCCACATACAGCATATGTGACAACTGAATCCTTATAAAGAGTTGAGGACTACAGTTGTACATTAATGTGTATTTGTGTCACCAAAACTAACATCTCTATTTTTTATCTCCAGATAAACTAATGTTTATCTGGTGATAAACATAAGAATGTTAACATAAACATAAGAATGTTAAAGCATAGGGGAATTTTTGTTGTTTCTCCTAAAATTCATCATGTCTAAACCTCAGTGCTTTTAATATTGGAGTATTTGTTTGAAAAAAGATATTGCTTAATGTTAAGATATAACAGAAAAAAAAAGGTAGAAGTTTTCTAGGAGTAAAATTATTTAGCTGATATGATGAATACTTTTTCAAGACTGAGTGGGGGAAAGAACAACATATTTTTAAGCTAAAAAATACTTCAGTGGGTGGTTAGAATGAAAAGGCAATATCAAACTATTTTATAGTCTTAGAACAGAAGGAGTTTAAAATTTGTCCTGTGGTCCAAGAATTTGAAAACTTCAAAATCCTATAACCAAGATGAATTTTACAATGCAAGAAGACAGTAAGTTAGCTAAAGAAAGCCACAACATGATAGTTTGTGCTTTTTTCTTTTTAAGGCCAGAGCTAGAAATTCTGAAATATTTTGTATTATAAACAGCTGAAACAATCAACTTTTTTGAACAATGTAAAGTTCAGATGGTTACATTTCATTTAAATTATGCATACTTCAACCTACACAATTATTCTCAAAACAGATAAAATATGTTTTGGACTGAAGCTAAGTGTCTAGATTTCATATCTTAAGTGTCTAGATTTCATATCTTGGCAACTGCTCTATAATTTGCTTACATTCTTTTAAAAAACATTTTGTTTACTGGAAGTACTAGTCACAGACAAACAATGCTGGTATTTTCTAATATCTCCAGAAAAAATGAAAATACCAAGTACAATATAATGCCATCTATTGTCTCAGGAATATTTGTATCAAGTTGCTTTATGTAGGGGTTGATTATGCAAAGTAAATAAATTTCATGCCTTCCCATGTGATGATAATGTGACATTCCATCTGTATCAACCCATTGAATGGTCATATGTTTTAAATCTTCAGCATAACAAATTAAAAATAATTTTGAAAATTCACATCCAAATATAACAGAAAAAGAACCTTTCATTTCATTATTTTTCTAATAGTCATAAAGCCAATATTATTAAGGAAAGTGAAGTTAGGCTTACTTCCTAAGTAACTGAAAAAAGAAAAGCCTTCCTTTGTTTAAGAAATTTGTAGTTAGCAAAGGAGGTCCTCTTTATTCATATGCTCTATCAAGGCATTCCCTAATGTGTAAGGTCCAGTTCTGAAAACTATGAAAATCTCAGTGTACCTTTTCATGTTACTGTGTATATTTTAAATTTCCCTGGAATAGTTTATATAAAGCCTTAGAATGTGTGTCAGATGTCTATTTAATTAAAACACTAGAGTCTTATCTTTACAATTATACTTCTCTGCCTGTAATAAAGACTGCAACTGATGCTAAACAAACAAGCACTGAAATGAAAAAAAATAAACAGAACTAAAGGACCAATCAAAGGTGCAATGACAGCATAAATGTTGGAATTCTTCAGTTATTGTGTACTTTAACTATTCTGGGAAAATTTGATAAGAATCTGAAGAAAAAAAAATCTGAAGGACATTCTTTTTTTTTTGCAGTACGTGGGCCTCTTACTGCCGTGGCCTCTCCCGCGGAGCACAGGCTCCCGGACGCGCAGGCCCAGCGGCCATGGCTCACGGGCCCAGCCGCTCCGCAGCATGTGGGATCTTCCCGGACCGGGGCACGAACCCATGTCCCCTGCATCAGCAGGCGGACTCTCAACCACTGTGCCACCAGGGAAGCCCTGAAGGACATTCTTTTGATAGTGAAACAAGTAATCTGTTTATTTTCATTTTCATAATTACCTAATAAAACAAATCCAAAACATAGGGCTGATTTTTATATTATGTAATTTGTGACTATATAGTTTATAATATTATGGAGATTCTCAAAACATTTTAAAATTTAAATAATTCTGGGTAACAGCATAGTAAAAGAAAAGAGTAAATTAGAAATTTTTATAAAAAGATGAAGGCTAGATCCCCAAATAAGGAATATATAAAGCAAATAGTTTGAACTGTCAAAAAAACTAACAAAACCCTCTTAAATTATAAATGTATGAATAGAAGGGGGTGAAAGTTAACTTAGCAAAGAAATTTACATATAACATGCATGTGTTGGTGTCCATCACCTTTAACCGAAAAAAAAAAATCCCACTGATATTAAAAAATACACATATTAGGAACCAGAGAAAAAAACAGGGAAAAGTATTCCATAAAAATATTTAGCTCAAATTCAAATTAAAAAATTCAATCTATTTTTCAGGCAATATTACTTTAAAAAATAAGTTGATACACTAATGAAGATTTGAATACCTCAGTAAATATTAAGAGCTAATGTAGCTCTTGCCAAGAAACAGAAATGGAAAATGACATATATTTTCATATATATATTTCTATATAATTTATATAAATACTATATATTTAATACATCTTAGCTCAGTTTTCATTTAAACCACAACAAATAATCAATGCTTATTAGAAACTTTAAAGCATGATTTAGTGATACAATCTCCTCTATGCATGAACACTCAGTTCTTAGGGAACACCTGGTAATGGGCAAGTCAGTTTTAATGCCTAAAATACTAGAAAATGGTTTTAAGGCTGATCATGCAGACACACACAAAGAATCAGTATGTACTGGATGACTGAAAGGAGATGACTGTTTTAACATGTGGAAATAACTTTAATGTCTTAATCAATGTTTAGGGAAGGAAACAATACTTTTGGGAAATTATTTCCCATTAATTATTAGCAGTGACAGTTCACCTATTTGTTCTACAATTTTCCCTTCCTCACAAGCCTAATGTAAAGCCTAATTCTAATTAGTTCTAGGAAATTACAGATTAAAAAAAAATTACACCATTGACACAGAATATATAGAAGAAAGATTTCCTCTAGTTGGGAAATAATAAATATTCCAATTTCCCATTATGATCCTCTAAAACTTGTCAAGTTAGTAGAGATTAAAACCACTGAAAACCAGTTACACATTATAATCCAGTTACACAGCATCAGAAGAGATCTCAAGCCTTTTCTAAGGAAAGAGCTGCCTTCATGCTCTTAAATTCTATGGACCCTAATGGGAGTTAGCTGCCCAACTGAATGGCTCAGGAAGCCTGCTCAGTTCCCTTCCCACATGAGTTTTGGAGGAGTTTTTCCATGGCTGCTGCCCTACCATGACCCAGTTGGTCTTTGGAACTGACCAGCAGGGAATCTAGCTCTTTCCACTGCAAACTCATCGCTGGCTTTGTTAAAAGATCCTAAACACAGACTAACATACTAGATTGGTTGAACCAGTTTCAGTTATGCCTTACGTTTGAATCTGAGAGCAGGGATGACTGGATGATTTCATTTGTTTTAGGAAGAGACAACATGGAAAAATGCAAAGACCATACTTTTTGAGTAAGACTGGTCTTTAGTTGGAATCCCTGCTCTGACACTTAAGTAGCAGTGTCTTTGGGCAAGTTACTTAATATTTTTCTGTGTCTTTGCTGCTTATCTATAATGACAATAATAGCTATCTTGCAGGGTTGTTGTAATGATCTGCTGATTCTAGTATTGGGAACACAGTAATTATTAGTCCTCAACAAATGGTAGTCATTGGTACTCAAAAATGGTAGACTAAAACATGGCTATCCACTTCAGGGCTACCTCTATCTGCAGAGTTTGCCAAATGGCACTCATGTCAGTAATATTAAAATCATCCCTCTTAAGTTGGTCTAATGGTTTTAATATTTTATAGTATTTTGCTTACTGAGGTATGAATGTGCATGTGTTATGAGAACTTAAAATCTGCTAATTTAGTTTCCCATACTGTGAAATGCCCCAAGGTGTGAGTTCACAGTAGGTCAAATGTCATTAATAATCTGAAAGTTTTCAGAACACTGGTTACAAAGTAACTTTTTATGTTTTGTGGATCTTTCTAATTCACCATTAAAAGCTGCCATATATTAATGCATTGTTGCCCCATTTGTCTGTATTCTCAAAAAGAACTTTTAATAGAAGAAAAAATTTAACTCTTGAACTGGAAATTGTATTTCAAAAGTTCAGTCATCAGGGAAGCTGATCTTACCAGACACGGTCTTTTGCTAAATGCAATATAATGTTTTTCAAATGAGATTCGTGGTCTTTTAAAAAAAGGGCCCATGATAATTGGTTGAAATGGTAAAATAAGATGAAAGGATCTCTTTATGTAATAAATTAAAACACAACTCTCACCTTTGTTGGGAAGTCCTGAATTCTTCTTTTCAAATAGGTTTTGTTTTGTTACTTTTGTCACTAAAGGAAAAAAAAATCTCACATTAAAAATTAATACAGAATATTAAATAATTTCTCATTTTGGAAGAAACAACTTCATAAGAAATAATTTCAAGCAATACATACTTATAAATATCAAGTATAAAATGCAATACCTTATATCTTTTGTAAAGAATGAGAACTGCATTAAAAAAAAGCCTAATACCAGTTACCAAGGTACATTCTTTCCCTTCACATTCAAGAAGAATCCCTGAAATAACATATCCTGGCAAAAGATATGTGGCTTCCTGTTCTAAGTTTGCAAACAAGTAATAGAGAGACACGATCAAAAACTCATAAATTTCTCTTACGTAGGTCTTTTGTTTTCTGCATTTCTCTTTTTAAGACACCTGATGTATGGGAGATACCAATGAGATTTTCAAGCTCTCTACTGTCCTCCAAAGCCTAAAAGAAAGTCATCTTAAATGAGTTAAGTTCTCTACAAATATAATACTACTGACAAGTCTAGTGAAAATACAGTATACTGCTTCCTTCATATGAAAAACTTAAACTCTATGATAATGAAATTTAACTTTTTCTGTTAGGTTAACTACTGCAAACCTTAAAATACCTGAATAAAAACAATTCATTAACTAAAAAGACTAAACATAATTAATAAATTTACTTTTAAATGTGAAGAAGCCAGATATTACTAAAATATTATGGTTAATTAATGTTCATACATGAAAAGAAGTTCCCATGAAGAGTAAATTGAACATATCCCCTGTAAGTTCTTTCTGGGATTGGATTCTCCTATTCTTTTTCAAATAGGGTAATAGAATATGAAAAATTATATGCCAAAAAAAGCAAACCTGTATATTACTTAAATTTTGCATTATTTCCATGAATTCGTCTGATGATTTCTCAACTTTAGATAGCAACATCATGAATCTATGAATGAAGAAAAAAGTATTCAGCAAGATCAGGCACTTTCAGAGCTTTAATTCTTTTGAAAGCATCTTTGATTCAGTTTTCTAATCCTTTTCTTTATATTTTTCAAAGTGGTAAAAGATGTAAATGCTCCTCCTTCATGCTTTCATTCCTTTACAAACAGTGTATTTTACCAACCATCCTGTCCTTTGGTGTTTCACTTTCTCATTCCCACTTTGCAGTGGGAGAGAAGATATAGCTGGCTTGTCCTTTCTCCCCCATACCACTTTGAGAAAACTAATACATCCCCATCTCCTTATTGACCTAGATCTAAGCCTATGAATCAGTGTTACCCAGTGATCTTTAATAAAAAACCAAGTTTTTTAGCTTTAATATATCTCAATGTGACAAAGACACAAAGGCACTCTTTTAAATTTGAAAACAAAGAAAACTTCACTTTGTAATCCTACCTTCCTTCTAAACATATCTCTAGTTAGCATATTAGCATTCTGGAAAAATCTTAGGTTTTAAAAATATTTTTATAACTTTATACCACACTTTCTTGCCTTAATATAACATTACACACACACAAACACACACATATTCATGTGTCTATAATTTTAAAAGCTGCACAATATTGTACCTAATGAATACACCAAAGATGATTTAACCATTTCCTTATGGCTGCAATTTTAGTTTCTTTTTCAATTTTAAGATCTCATAGCTGTGTATGATAATCTATACCAGTGCAGTCTAACAAAAATATAATGCAAGCCACATACGTAATTAAAAATTTTCTAGTAGCCACATTAAAAGAAGTAAAAAGAAATAGGTGAACTTAATTTTAATGATATATTTAACTCAATATATCCAAAGTATTACCATTTCAACATGTAATCAGTATAAAAATTATTCGAGATATTTTATACTTACTTTTTTTTTTCAAAATTCAGTGTATACTTTACACGCATAGCACAGCTCATTTCAGAATAGTCACATTTAAAATGCTCATTAGCCATGTGTGGCTGGCTAGTGACTACTGTTTCGGAGAGCACAAATCTATACTATCGATTTTATGAGAGAAACTAGATAGTCTCTTTAAGTGCTTTTCAAAATCACATCAGTGTTATCCATTAACATTTGCGTGCTATTAAAAAATAAGACAAATGTGATGTTAAATGTACATACACAATGAATATGAACAGTATGTTTTTCTTGTTTTAATTAATTTTTTGCTGCATTGGGTCTTCGTTGCTGCACGTGGGCTTTCTCTAGTTGCGGCGAGCGGGGGCTGCTCTTCGTTGTGGTGTGCGGGCTTCTCATTGCAGTGGCTTCTCTTGTTGCGGAGCACGGGCTCTAGGCGCGCAGGCTTCAGTAGTTGTGGCATGAGGGCTCAGTAGTTGTGGCTCGCAGGCTCTAGAGTGCAGGCTCAGTAGTTGTGGTGCACGGGCTTAGTTGCCCTGTGGCATGTGGGATCTTCCTGGCCGAGGGCTCAAACCCGTGTCCCCTGCATTGGAAGGCGGATTCTTAACCACTGTGCCACCAGGGAAGTCCCTGAACAGTATGTTTCAACTAAGTAAAATATATATCTAAGTATACAACAAGGAATGGAGAGAAAGCATTATGCAAAAGCTAAAAATTATGTGAGGACAGTGGAATTACAGGTCATATTCTTTCTTTAAAAATTTTCCTTTATTATTATGCATTTTACATTAGAAGTCATCTATCTGTCTGAGGCCTCAACTGCTCACCACTGGAACCTCAGTTTGTGACAGAGTATCATAAAAGGATTCCATCTCCTCCAATTGAGCTCCAAAAGCCTGAAGGAGCAAGATGACTTAAGTGACTCCCACCCAGGGCTGGGAACCTCCAGCTTCCCCTATATTATACGTAAGGCTACTAAGTGCTTCAGAAGTGCAAAGCTGAGGCAATTAAGCTACTCTGCTATGAGGAGGAGTCCTAGGGGCTCTTTTCCTTGCATCCCTTTCCTGGGAGGATTGGAGGGGAAGAGCCTCTCCACACTGTCTTATCATACCTTAAGGAACTGATGCTGTTCCCTGTCTACCCTCAGGGAATTGTGTGGGAAGGGCTGGGTCCTGCAGGATTACCATCTTGAATGACTCAAAGGAGCTCTGTTCAGATAGAGTAAGATGTGAATGGTGCCCCCAGGAGCTGTGCTATGTAGCATCCCCAACAATCCTATTAGTAAATCTCTCTCCCAAGTTAAGATAGTTATCCAGCAGCTAAGCAAACTGTTTGTAACCTTGGAGTTTTTGGACTGAGTATCAATTCTCTGACTATCAAGATATTCTTCACATGCCTAAGCTACTTTTGCAGGGAAACTTGCCTCCACTTCAGGACCAAGTAGAGTAGTGGACACTCCATCACTCTTGTAATTTTTATTTTAATTTCCTTTCCTTTCCTCCTCCTCGTCCTTTTACTTCTTCCTAGGTGAAATCAACTCCTTTTCCCATCTCGGTTGCAACCAAATTCACAGAACGGTTTTGAAACTGTCATCCAACTGTTAAATTTTGAGAAATTCAGGAAGTGTGTTCTACATCTTCTACATCTTCTACTTTCTACATCTTTCTACATCTTCTGACTCAGTGGACAAGGCTTCATAATCTTTGGAGATAAACTACTTGCTGAGCAGCTTTTGGGAGAAGAATGGTTGCCACTGTCTTCATCCTAGACAAAATGGCAATTTTTATATTTAATCCCATTTGTGCTGGAGACTGGATTTTTATTGCTGCTAATAGCATTTTCTATATTTTCAATGGATGGTTCAAACTGTACTTTGTTGCCTTAAGACAGCATCACTGTTTGCTTTAATATCATCTCGATGTCCCTTCACTAATTTACTTATTTCTGAAAACCAACCATCTTTTATTCCTGCCTGCAGAATACATTTGTTACAAAATTTCCAAGTTATTGTTGCTCCCTCTTTCAAGTTGGTGAGTGAAAGTGTCATCAGTAGGTGCCGTTCAGATTTTATAGAACACTACTCCTTTCTTAAACAGATTTACCTCTGGCTGGACTAAATTGGATCAAATCCTTCATCTTATAATGACCATTGCAAGCTATGCAGATGTTGATGGGTACTGCATCCCGATATCTAGTGACTGCTGCCAGCTTCATGGCATCCTTATAAGATCTGATCACATCCTATATTATGGCCAAAGACCACTGTAGTACAACTTGAGAAATCTGAAATCTTGGTCCTCCTTGAATGAATCTTTTTTTGTTTGTCAATAGAGTAAAAGTCCAGCATCATCTTTTTTTACCAACGGGTATTTTTAAAGTGTCTGGGTTAGTCCTCTAAGATACCTTTAAAAAGAAACTATGATCCAGTTGCTCCCGCACAACAGAAAGTTGTTCACGTTTTGACATGTTTTTGCCAGACTGCCTTACGTCAGGGCAGATTCTTATGGTATGTTCACTATGAATATCTCTTTTTCTCTTGAGAAAGCCACATGCCAAAAATTCAGGGTTTTCGGTGCCTTTTCCAGTTTGCCTAGAAAAGTCTCACTGTGAAATTCAGAGTTCTCTCATTTTCCCCAAAGAGGAAGTCTTATTATTCTGAAGAACAACTGAAATTAGATGCTTCGACCACATAAAATCCATGGAGGGATGTATCCATTAATTATACTTTAAATTTCTTCCACAGAAATTTCTTCAGTTTCAAGCAAGTCATATGTAATGTAACTTTCAAAACTATCATTCTGCTCCAATTCTGTTTTTTTCCCATCTTGACTGCTTTCAATTATTTTCCATTCTTACCTTCAAATTTAGCTTCATCATTTTCCTTTTCTCCATAAAGTTCCTCAGATATATTCTGAGGGAAGAACTAAAAGAATAAGGAGAACCTATCGTTAAATTGGTGGGTCTGACTAAAAATTGCTGATACAGGTGGTTAGCAAGCATTAACTCAGCTGTTGCTGTGCCATTCTAGATGTGGAAGAAGGGAGGCAAAGGAGATAGGAAAGGAGCCCACTAATGTCTTCAAGATTCCCTAGCATGCGACTCATGGTGCCTACTGTATTAACTGTGCAGGCACTGTGGGTGTAGTGAGAGAAGAGGAGAAACGTCTAAAAGCCATAATGGTCTTTAAAGATCCTGATTTCCCCCTTTCTGTAACTTCCAATTGTTTGGCATCTGTCTTCCTCACCAGACTGTAAGTTCCATGCAGGCAAGGACAGGCTCTACTTGTTTACCTTATAAACCAAGTTACCTAGCATGGTGTCTGTAGTATGGTAGATATTATTTGATGGATCAATGAATAAAATAAAAAAGACCTAGTCCATTAAACATCCATTCCTAGATCCAAGTGAAATATGCTCATCTTTTATTTTTTTCTTTCTTTTACGTCCTTCTAATCATAGACGTCATAGTTCATGTTTGTTGCATCACTGAGAAAGCTGGGTGGGGGAAACAGGGAGATGCTGGTCAAAGTGTACAAGTCTTCATTTATAAGATGAGTAAGTTCTGGGGATCTCATGTACAGCACAGTAGCTATAGTTAAAAAATACTATATTGTATACTTCAAATTGATAAGAAGAGTAGATCTTAAGCATTCTCGCCACCAAGAAAACAAGGTAACTATGTGAGATGGTAAATATGTTAATTAACCTTACTGTCATAATTATTTCACAATGTATAAATATATCAAATCATCACGTTATACACTTTAAATATATATATTTTATTTGCCAATTATACTTCAATTAAGCTGGAAAAAACTTGAAGAATAAGAAAATTTTCTCAGTCCCTTAACCTTCTGCCACATACATGGGTGTCTAATACGTAATCCTGGATTTCCTACCTATTTGTTTTCTTCATTCCTGGCCCAAGCTGTGAGTGCTAGAGAAAACTTACAGCACTACTGATGGTCAATATTACAAGTACATATATGATTTTGCTGGGCCCCTGATGCTTTTAACTCTTTTACTTAATGAATATTCTCTCTTTTACAAACCATTGCTCAAAATAATGGTCTAGATCAACCTCCACTTCCTCCATCC